GCTGTGTGCAGGGTTCTTCCTTACTGCCATGCTATGTGCAGGGTCTTCCTCTTTGTCATTGCTATCCTGCCCCCATTCCCAGCTCATATGCTTGATTCTCATTGCCTTCTCCCAAAATCCTTATCCTTAATCCTGTTCATAGCTGGAATGCCACCTCTTCCCTGAATACCTCCTTGTTACTCATCAATCTCAGAGCCTATCACTCTGTTCTTGAGTGCTACCCTATCTTGTCTTGGCACTGAAGTTTGGTAGGGACAGGCTACATTTATTTGTTCTTTATTCCTCTGCCCATCTGTAGTCCCACCATCTACTCTTCTTGTGGATGGTGCATCCCATCACTTCCTGTTATTCATATGCTTTGGAAATTGTAGGTTTTGGTGGTGGGAAGATAACAAGATATCAAATCAGAAAATTTTGGCCTCAAATTTGCTACCTGAGTGATCTTGGGCGAGTCTGGCTGTGAGCTTGTTGTGAGTCCAATCAACCAATGAATGTAAAAGCTCTGTGTAAACCTAGTTTATTCCAATAAATGGGTTATCATCCTCTCTTAGCTACAGTGGTTCAGCAGGACCTGCATTGGCCACTGGAGGGCAATCTCAGCCAGTCTCCCACCTGGACTTGATTGGGTCCCTTCTTGTCAGGGATGAGGGCCTGATGTATAACTCCAACGTGCCATAAGTGATCTTAGAGACCTGGTGAGGGATATACCCCAATAATGTCACTTGGTCAGCTTTCTCTTTTCTTTAGTGTGGCTAGAGAAGGTTCTGCTCACAGTCCCAGAACCCTGCTGCATAATAGGCCATTTGATGTCCTGGGCAGATGGAAAGCCAGCCTTGTACTCAGATCGCTGCAAGTCTTCCATTATGTAATATTTCCTTCCTTCCATCCTCCTTCATTCCCTTCCCATCCTTTGTTCTCCCCACACCCTCACCCCCATTATTGTGTTATGTAGTGTGGTATCAAATTCACTCTGCAGCTCAGGCTGCTTTAGCCTTCTGAGTGCTGACATTTTAAGCATGAGTCATAATACTCAGCTCTAGTTTAGATTTTGTATTGAGATATATTCCACACAATATAGCTTCATCATTTTCAGGCATACATTTAAAGTGTGACTTTTAGTAGCAGTCGGTCGCAATCCCCCATCTCCCTAGCTCCTGGGAATCACTTTCTGTCTCTGTGACTTTACCAGTTTTGGAAGTCTTATGTAACTGGACATGATGGTTAAACTTGATGTCAACCTGACTAGATTGAGTGGTGCCTAAGAGATGATTAAAAGCATTCTTGGGTGTGTGAAAGCATTTCTAGAGACTGCTAACTAAGGGGGAATAATCCTTCCTTGAATATGGATGGGACCATCCTGTAGGCTGGGAGCCCAAAAAAATGGGAAGGACAAAAGGGAAAAACCTTCAAGAGGGCAGCCATTCTTGCTCTGGGACTGTCACAATGTAAGCTGCTCTGCTATGAGGCTCTCCCTGCCATGAAAGATGAAAACTTTGAAACTTGATTGTTAGATGTTTCATTACAGTGACTTTGAGAGTGACATGTCTTTGATGATTAGCTTTGTTTAATTTGCATAAAGTTTTTATGCATTCCTGCACTATTTCACTCTTGGGGCATGGAATCCAGGGCCTTACTGTAGTTGTACTGTGAGCTACCCTTGCCCTCTGCCAGCCATTGGGTCTATGCTGGGTCATCTGGGCTAGCCTTGAGCTCATGATCCTCCAGCCTTTGCCTCCAAAGTGCTGAGATCCTAGGTATTTGACACCACACCTAGATGCTGCACTTATTTTTTAGGACTAAATATTATTCTCTTCTCTGGATGTACTGCATTTTGTTTATTTACTCACCCATTGATTGGTGGCTGCTAATTTCTACCCTTGTACTAGATCACTCTCTTCATTGTACAAGCATGCGTGTACAAGGTTTGAGCGGACATTTACTTTCTGTTCTTTTTTGGTTCTTGCTAACTGTGGAGTGCTGCTGGGAGTTACCATGCAACTCCACGTCTGGCATTTTTGCAAAACTGCCAGACTGTCTCTCCAAACATCTGTACTGGTTTCCATTTCTGCCAGCCACATATGAGAACCCCAAAATGCTCTTGACACTGAGTCCAACCCCTGCTTTCCTTAACATTCCGAACACAGGAAGCTCAGGGGACGAATCTGCCAGCTTTCACCCATCTCTTTCCAGTGCTATCGTTATGCAAGACAACAAGCTTTGCAGACTTTAATTGCCTGAGAAGCATACTTGGGCCCTTGGGTGCAACCAGGGTGATTCATCTTTCTCACTGAGGAGAGTACTACTGTGTGGCTCCCTGTAGTAGTGGAGGGCTTGTCTGTGAGCAAGGCTCAGGGACTGACTTAGCTGATGAGCACTTGGGCTGTTTGCCAAGAGATGTTCTTATTAAATAGGGGCTGCCAGGCAGGTGTGTGCACAGATTCCTTGCCTCTGTAATGGATCCCGAGGCTTCCTGGCAGGGAGCTGGCTCTGGCTCTTGCAGTTGTCATAGGTATGAGGTTGGGAAGACATCTGTCCAGATGGATAGGGACTGTGGGTACAGGCTGCTTCCTCCATGGTGCCTGGCTGAATAGCAGGTAAATACTGGCTGTCTGAGAAAGAGGGGCTGGTGAACAGGCCTCCCTCCCCCACTCAACATTCATTTTGTGACTGGGCAAATGATAGCAGCTCTATTTGCAGCAGCCCAGAACCTGCCTGCATGGTCTTGGTGGTATGCTATCTGGATCAGGAGTGAGGCAATTTAGGAAGGGGGTAGGAGAAGGAAGGGCAGATGGCTCACCCCAAAGGGGAAGCAAAATTACCATCTGCATTGCCTCTGTGCTTAGAGGAGGAAAGGCTAGCTCATTTCTGTCAGTCTGAGGGGAATGGTTTGGGCATGCACAGGGAAGAAACGGGCAGAGAAACACTCCCATGAAGTCTTCATTAATTAACTAGTGGCCCTGTATGGGGTTTCTAGGCCATTATATCTGGTTTAGATCTATTCAGCTACTGGACATCTTGATTTATGGTTGTTTCTTCATGTAAGAAACATGTAACTGAGTTTCTGGAACTGTCCTAAGATCCAGGGATTGACTGGCAAATAAATCCAGTCCTGATAAATGTCATTGTGGAATGCAAGACTGATGGGGCAGAGGGGCTTTAATTCACTGATTGCAGGAGTCTGTTCAGGGCAAGGGCTATACACGTCTGATAGTGTAAAAGGGGGTGGTGGCTAAATCTGAGGGATAGGGTTGGGGAAAACCTTTCCTAGGGCACAGGTCTGAAGGGTAAGCAGAGGGCAGAGGAGAACATTCAAGTTAGGAGGAACAGCCCTGAGGAGGGACAAGCATGACATCCCATAAACAGAAAGTAAGCCTTTTGTGGGAAAACAGGGAGGAAGGAGAGACATGGAGACAGGTGGCAAAGTCAACAGGGCCAGTGTGCCTGGGCTTCCACCAGCCATGCAGAAGACCCATTCCCTCCTAAGCTTGCTGGCGGTGGTCAGATCTGGGTTTGAAATGGCCACATTGTTCCCTGTGACTCATCGTGAACTTCAGATAATTAGGAGACAGAGTCTGGAATGAGAACAAGCCCTTACCCCACTACCCACTCAGAGATGTGGGCTTCTGGAATCCTCAGTGTTCCAGGCAACTTCAAGGGATGGAATGGAGTTAGGGTTCTAGTTTAAAAAAAAAAAAAAAAAAAAAAAAAAAAAAAAAAAAACCAGACCTGGGAATGCTCAATAAGATGAACAGTGGGCCTGTGTTGATTCAAAGGAAAAAGAGTTTTGAGGGAACAAAGGGGACTCCCAAGGCATAGGGAGAATCAAGCCCTTCAGATAACCGACAAGGCACAGGGAGGAGAACCAAGTTCTTCAGATAACCGACTCAAGCCTTTGAAGGTCATTCTGACCTTGTAGTTCTGATTAATCCTTAGAAGAAACCAAGTTTTCCTCTTTTTTCATGTGTGGGGAGGTGCATGGGCTTTCTTTCATTCAGAAATACCTAGCTCAGGGCTGAACACATGGCTTACCATCAGCATGAAGGTGAGAATCTGTAGGCCTCAGACCACCTGGTTCAGAGTCTAGTGTGAACCCTTGTACTAGAATCATCTGGGGGGGTAATGGTCTAAAGACTGTGGGTTCTTGATTCTTACCCCAGGTCTACTGAATCATAACTATTTTTTATTTTGTTTTATTTCAGTTTAGAGGCAGGATCTCATGCAGACTAGGCTGGCTTTGAACTCACTATGTAGCCCAAGATGGCCTTGGACTTCTTATCCTCCTAGCTCTACCTCTAAATGTAGATTCTCATGTGTGTGTGGCAAGTCCTTTACCCACTGAGGCATCTTGCAGCCCCAGAAACTCCCTCAGAGATGGTAGCAATGGTTCAGGCTATTAAAGAGCCCGTGTTGTTGGTAAGCAGATAATTCTTGTCACACTATATTTGTTGCCTGTGACTTCTGTAACAAATAAAAACACATGTAGTGACCAAAAAGAGCAGAAGTTGGGGCTGGAGAGATGGCTAAGGGGTTAAGAGCACTAGCTGTTTTCCTAGAGGACCTGGCCTTGATTTCTAGCACCCACATGGAAGCTAACAGCTGTCTGTAACTCCAGTTCTGTGACTCTGACACGCTCTTCTGGCCTCCAAGGACACTGCACACCTGTGGTGCACAGGCACACACGCAGGCAAAATACCACACACACTAGCGATAAAAACAAAACAAAACAGAGGATCATCCACTTTCTGCCCTGAAGACACACAGTCCTAAATTATTTCAGACTAAAACTGAGGATTGGGCAGGGCCACTCCTCACAGAGGCTCTGGGGAAGGACCCAGCCCCTGCCCTATCCAGTTTCCAGTGACTTCTGATAGCCTCCACTTGTGGCCTCTGAATAGCGTGTGAGCAGCAGGAGAAGGTGGGGCAGATTTACCAGCACCTTGGGTACATATTTGATCCTGTTTATGACTCATGTCCCTTTGGAGCTGGGCCTCCCTCGGGTGAAAAGTTTGCATGCCCCACCTCCCTGCATGCTGCCTTATAGGGTGGCAGCCCCACAGGGCAGATGTCTGAGAAGACACAGAAGCCCTGCTTTGCTGTCCATCCTACAGGCCATGGCAGCCCTGGCAGCAGGAGTATCCAAGCAACGCGCAGCTGCTGAGGGTCTTGGCTCTAACCAGAATGCTGTGAAGTATTTGGGCCAAGACTTTGAGACCCTGAGAAAACAATGCTTGAGCTCAGGGGTCCTATTTAAAGATCCAGAGTTCCCAGCATGTCCATCAGCTTTGGGCTACAGGGATCTGGGGCCCAGCTCTCCCCAAACTCAAGGCATCATATGGAAACGACCCACGGTAAGGCACAGCTGAGGGTCACACAGGGTGAAGGGCTGTCACTTCTGGTCAGGAGTTGAAGGCAGTGTCAGTGTCAGAATCCATTTTCAGATCCTGTAGATCCTGTAGTTCTGACTCCACGCCTTGCTTTCTAAAATTGTTTCTGAGGAGGAACATATACAGGTTCCAGGCTAGATGAAGTAGGTCTCAACAGTGGCTCTGCTGATGTGGCCTTGGGAAGATAGCTTCATCTCTCTGAGCTTCATCGCTCTGCCCTTAAAATGGCACTGCTAGAACCATGGTGTGTTAGTGTTGTTATGAGAACTAGAACTTAACCTGGGAGGGTAATTGCCCTGCATGTAAGAGGCGCAGAATGCAGGGTACTTAGGATTGCGTAGTGCCCCCAGGCCAGCACACAGGGGAACAAACCAAGGTTAAATACAGTCAGCTATGGGGAAACAGTGATAGCATCACTGCTGAGAGGCACAGGGCTACTGAAGGAAATGTCAGGGTTCCATCAGGGATGGAGAGTGGAGAAGAGCTGTGGAAGCCATCCTCAAGGGCATGGGTGTGGCCACATTGTGGTCTTGATTTGCATTTCCATGATGATTATGGATGCCATATCTTTTCATCTTTGTGATTATAGATAATCGGTGTATCCTATAGTGCCTGTTCAAGCCCTTTGTCCAATTTTCAATGGTTCGGTTTGCTTTTTCTTTGTTTGATTTGGTACTTATTTAGTTTGGGAACTGCCAATTTTTTTTTTAATCTAGTAATTCTGCAAATTAGGTTGTTTTATTTCCTTGTCCACATCCAGACAGCCATTCCTTTACTTCTATACTTCTCCAAGTTCTACATAAAAGGGAAAACATGTAATATTTGTTTGTGAGCTGGGCTCATTTCACTTAAAATGATGACTTTTGCTTCTGTTTATTTCCCTACAAATGACGTGATTTTCATCTTTGTTATAGTGAATGATACTCCATTGTACACACACACACACACACACACACACACACACAAATATACAATATTTTTATTCATCCCTTTGTGGATGGGTACCCTGGCTGATTCCATATCATGGTTACTGGGACTAGTGCTATAATAAACACAGGTGTTCAGGTGTCACTATCTGAGCTGGCTATGATTCGTTGGGATACCTACCCAGGAGGAACATAGTTGCTTTGTTTCTGTCTATTCTTAAGCTTTTAAGTAGAAGATTCACCTATGCTCTTGTCCCAAGGAATGGAAGACACAGTTGTCTAGATGAAGGTTGCATGATTAGACCTGGATTCTCAAGAAGAACTTGCTGTTGGGAGGCTGAAATCTCCAAGGGTTTTCCTGTTTGTGTGGGCCAAGAGCAGTAGTTGGCCCACAGAGACAGTGGCTGATCCTGCTGGTCCCCTGTGCCCTTAGCCTCTTGCTTTACCATCTGGACTCCTTGTCCATCCTGTGAAGTGTATAATGCTCAGTGTGAATGGACTTAGGGCAGCCTAGTCAATATTCTTATCTGTCTTGTGTCAGCCCTAACCCAGCAATTAAACACTTTATTGATCTTAAGAAGAAATATGGAGTCAGGACTTCATCATGCCAGGCACATGATAAGGACCCTGGCTGACAGACTCATGGAGGTGTTGAATTGTTGGAAGGTTAATGGATGGTGGTAGGCTCTGTTTGGGGTGTCCATCTTTTCTACAGCTCCTATCTCTTAGATTGCTTTGGAGTTCACAATTCAGTCATGATCTGCTGTGCACTTGTCCTGTATGGAGGAGCTTTAGTTAGTAAGGAGGGGCAGAGACTAGGCAGACAACTGAGTGACATTGGAATGGAGAAGACCATGGGCTTGGGTGTCAGGAGTCAGGGTTCTGGTCTATTGTCTATCACTCACTAACTGAGTGACTATGGGTAAGTGACTAACCTCTTTGAGAGGCCATTTCCTCATCCATGAAATGATGAGGAACAAAAGTACTATTACCCACATCCTTGCATTGTGAGGAAAGCTGGATGAAATGTTTAGAAAGTGAGCTATCTCTAGATAGTTTTACATGACAGACTGGGCAGAGAGAAAACTATTCAGTCAACAAAATGCATGGGATCTCAGGGGGAAGCAGTGGAGCTTGAGTGTGGAACTGGACAGGAAAATGATGCAAGCCAGTAGAGCTGGGATGGGTGGAGAACGAGGTCTTAGGTGAGATCAAGAAAGCTTGAGTGTGAGTCCAGGCGCTGGGCTGTGGAAGAGCATGAATGCAAGAGTGTTCAGAGAAGGCAGTGGTCTGTGGTCATTAGAGCAGATCAAACATGGCTGGAAACAGGCAAAGCTAGAAACATTCAGTGGATCAGTTCCTGGAGGGTCAGAAGAGCTGGATTGTGTGATGCGGCGATGGAATGAGGATAATGGCACCACTGGGCTTCTTGATAGCCCCTCAAATGCCAAACCAAGTCCCACCAGCCACCGTCCTGGAGAACAAAGTTTCCGAGTAGCCACTGCTTCTGCTTTCACAGCCCTTTCTATCTTGAGTTCATTACAGTAAATTAGAACTACTGTTTCCTGTCTTCCCATTTTTTTTCTGGGGCCAATGCAAGGCTTGGGTAGTTTGTGTTAAGGAGTGCTTGGGGTCATTACTTGATGGCCAGGAAGCATTATCCCGAACACATGTGACTGGTGCTAAAGAAGAAAAAAAAATTGCAGTCCAAAAATATTGGCAGATGGGGCTTGGCTTGTAGCAAGTTTTTCTCTGTCCTACCTCCCAGCTCCCAAATAAAGGACATGGAGAATTCTTATTAATTATGAAAGCTCTGCTGATAGCTTAGGCTTGTTTCTAACTAGCTGTTATAACTTAAATTAACCCATTTCTATTAATTTCCATGCCACCAAGTGGCTTATGACTTGTTACTTCATCTCCTACATGTCATGCTTCCTCCAAGTCTGGCTGGCAAACCTATCTTTCTTACCAGAGCTCTCTCTGTCCAGAAGTCTCGCTCTGCACCTGCTGCCTAGCTATTGGCTGTGTAGCTTTTTTTTTTTTAATTAAACCAACCAGTGACACATCTTCACACAATGTAAAGGAATATTCCACAACACCTGACCTTCTACAGGGTCTCCATCATTTAAATCTCTCCAGCGGCATGTTTACTCTATCTCTGCTTCAAGGGTTAATGGAGGAGAAGGCATACATCAAGTTCTTGTGTCTTGCAGTGGTCTTTTCTCCCTGTGAATTGTGTGTGAAGACTTTCTGTGGCCCTCGAAGGATCTGTGTAATGTATCAGTCATGGTTATGTTTTTTTCTGGGTGGGGAAATTTTGCGTTATAATTCTTGAATAACACATGTTAAGATGAACAGTGTACTGACTTACCAACAGGTAGCATTTTAAACTGTAGCCTCTGCTAACATTCTCTCTTCTTACCCAAACCTAAGACTGCAGCAAATTTTGGCAGCCTTACTGGGTATGAGTGTCTTTGCTTTTGTCACAAGGACAGTGTGACAGGGAATTAAGGAGAAAGGGCTGGGTGTTCACCTTGAAAGCCTCAGCACCGGCTGGTTAGGAGTTGAAGGGATGAGTTTGAATGATTTCCCCAATACCTTTCTCAGAAGGGTATGACTGATGGGTGAAATGGGGCCAGAATAGAGGCTGAGGGTCAAGTCCAGGGGTTCCTGGATTCCTAGAGTGAGAAAACAGGAGTCCACGGAGAAAATCATGACAGTCTATTGAGAGATGAGACACCCACGAGCAGGTGAAGACACTCACTGCAGGAGAAGGCTTGTAGAGAAAGAGCAAGCCAATAGCAGCAAATATTAAGGAACAGCCAGTAAAATGGGGCAGAAAATGATCATCTGGGGTTACTGGTGACATAGGAGATCTGTTTCTTGGACCTTCGAAGAAAGTAGATCCCATGGGAGTGATGGGTGAATGAATAAAAAAATACTTTTATTAGTTCTTTGAGGATTTCATATATGCTTACAATGGATTTTGATCATATTCACCCCCGCTCCTTCCTCTAACATCTTCCAGACTCAACCCTCCACCTTCCCACTCTGTCCCAATTCCACAAGTTTGTGAATGCTGTGGTCCTGTCATGTCTAGAAGACACTGTTTTGTCCTTCCTAACCACTGGCTCACAAATTGTTCTGACCCTCTTCTGAGATGGTCCCTGAGTCTCCAGGGAAGAAGTGATACAGTTGTCCCATTTGTGGCTGAGCACTCCAGTGACAGTGAGTCTCTGCACGTTGACCAGTTGCGAGTGTCTGCACTAGCCATCTCCCTGCTGCAAGACTCTCTGGCGTAGAGATACAGCTTAAGGGCAATTGGGCACTACATCCATTTAGCAGAATAATAGCAGGAATGGATACATTAGAAAAAAAAAGATTTGTTTAGGAGACAGGGTTTTTTTTTTTTTTTTGAGACAGGGTTTCTCTGTGGCTTTGGAGCCTGTCCTGGAACTTACTATGTAGTCCATGCTGGCCTCGAACTCACAGAGATCCACCTGCCTCTGCCTCCCAACTGCTGGGATTAAAGGTGTGAACCACCAAAGCCCAGTGAAATTGCCTCCTTTTTAAGAGTTTCCAATCTGTTATTTTTAATTAGTATTTCAAATTCCCCCACCTTTTAGTTGTCAGGAAATAATGGTCTAGAAGACCCGGGCACCTGAGAGCAGATTGTAGCTACAGCTTTTATATTTAGTGTATGTGTGTGTGTGGGTGTGTGGTGCATATGGGTGTGGTGGTGGTGTGTGTGTAGTGTGTGTGTGGTGTGTATGTGCCTTGTGTATGTGCGTATATAGGGTGTGTGGTGTATATGTGTGTTGTGTTGTATGTGTGTGTGGTGAGTATGTGTGGTGTGTCTCTCTTTGTGTACAAGTGTCTCATCACGTGTGAAGGCAAAGAGTTGTTTCTCTCTTTCCCCCTATGGGACTTCAGGAACTGAACTCAGGTTGTCAGGCTTGGCAGAAGATGTGTTTACTGCAGATCCATCCCTCTGGTCTACCATGTCCTCTTTTCACGTGCCATCAGAGACTGCAAAAGATTGAAACAAAACAGAACAGAAGTCAAAGCTCCCTCACTGGAGGACTGGCTGAGTGATCCATGACACTTTCAATGAAACTTAAAAACTCTGTTTTACAAAAGATGTAAAAGAACATGTGATCTCTCTCTCTGTCTCACAGACATACACTCACACACACTCACAGGGCTCTCTCTCTCTCTCTCTCTCTCACACACACACACACACACTCATACACACTCACAGGAAGGGGCTTGCTCTCTCTCTTTCAAAAAACACACAAACACACTGGGGGGCATCATTTGCGTATCATAGGCGCACTAGGCGACATGTGGGGTGGGACAGTTCAAAGTTGTGCCCAGCAGAGGGAGGAGTCCAGAGGGAGGAGTCACTGAGAGTGCTCCTTTGAAGGGGGCATAGGACCCTGGGCTCTTCTCTCCCTCTCTCTTCTTCCTGACTGGCATGCAGCGAGCAGGACTCTTCTACCACATATTCTTACCAAGCTGTCTGCCTCACCACAGACTCCCACATAGTAGAACTGTTCATGCCTCAGCCTTCAAAGATGTGAGCCCAAATGAGATTCCTCTTCCTCCTCTTCCTCCCCCTCCCTTCCTCCTTCTTCCTACCTCCTCATTAATATGTCCTCAAAATAATGATCTTTTTTTTTTATTCTTCCAAGTGCTGGGATTATGGGTATGTAGCACCGTGCCTGACACCTTTTCTTCTTTGTAAGCTGATTATCCCAAACACATTGTTATAAGAATAGAAAGTTGACTAAGACACACACACACATGCATGAAAATGTGCTATCATATCAAAGACAGTTTTTAGAAGAATGTTTTAGAAATGTTAAGAATAAAAAGCAAAAAATGGAAGGGTTTTTATTTTTTTGGTTACTATTATAATTTTGTCCATCAGTAAGAGTTACTTTCTTAACAAAAAACGTAAATAAAAAAAAAAAATAGTTGGGTGTAGAAGAGAGTGGTGTTGGGGGGGAGGGGCTGTTTCTGGCCCTCTAGGCAGGAGCTGACAGGTTCATATTGGCTGCCTTCCAGAAGGTTCCATCTGCTACAGTAGGATCTCAGGACTCCCGTTCACTGCTCCACTTGGGCCCTGCCCTTTTTGCTCAGCACACTTTCTTGCTTCTCACCTTGTTGGATCTGTTGCTTATTCATGTCTGTGGAGTAAGCAATGACTCTCACTGTGTAGCCAGCTACCCCTCCCTCCCTATAATGCAGCCCATCGGTTTGATGCCTCTCCGGAAGTGTAGCTCAAGTTCTCTTGGTCGCTTGAGGTCCCACACTTTCCCCTCAACAACTTGTCTCGTGTCCAGGATAACCATCTTCTTTGGACACACCTCTGCAGACTGTACCAGAGCCTGCCTTTCCAGCCGACAGCCATCATTTTCACCTGGCCAGCTGGTCAGCCAGAATTCGCCCTGGACTTTTAAAACACTCCCCCCCCCCGCTCCGTTTCCCTTTTAAAACACCCCCCCCCCGTTTCCCAATGATGTCAGCTTGATTTGCCTGTGTAAACCAAAAGCTTGCAGAGCCAGCAGTCTGCCTTTCCATTTCTTCACTTTTATCCCCCTCCCATCTCCCCTGCCTGCTGTGATACCAGAAGACCCAGAATGCAGCCCAGGAGGTCCTTCCAAGGTAAACAGAAGGAAAAGGTTGAACACATACTGACTGCCTGGTCCCTCCTTCTGGTCTAGGGTGACATCACACGCGTGCAGATGCCAAGTGGAATCTGGGAAATGGCAGATCTAGGTGTGCATATGACCTTAGCAGATCTGAGCTCTCCTGTCTGGAAATGGTCCTCCCTGATACCTCATCCTTGATCTCTGACGTCCTCCCTGGCACCCTTGGGATCCATTAGCTACAAGGCCCTTGCTGCTCAGTCACATGTTTAAGGAATGCCCACAATGTGCATTGCCTTTTGCCAAACAGCCCTCTAATTGGCTCTCTGTGTAAAGAGGGGTGTTGTCCAAATAGGCAAGGTCATATCTCATTGTATTAGCATCTCAGTCTTTGCCTTTCTCCTACCACACCACACCACACCACACCCTGAAGCCTTTCCACACCCGCTTATCCACATACCCACACACCTAGTGTGCATAGCAGTCAAGATCCCGGTTATTACAGGGGCTCTAGGCTCCAGCTTTTGTCCTGTGGACCGGTAGCTGTGTGACTCTGGTGTCCTCCCCTCTCTGGTCTCACAGACCTGGGAGAGGAGAGAAGCATATATGTGTAGTAGTAGACAAGCTGCTAGGCTTCTTCCAGGTCTGAATTCTTCACTGGTGTTTTTACTCACTCTGCCTCCGCCATTAAACAGCATCCTCTGACTTGTGTTTTCTCCTAAACTACTTTCAGGAATTGTGTTCCAACCCTCAGTTTATTGTTGGTGGAGCCACACGCACAGACATCTGCCAAGGGGGTCTAGGTGAGTAACTGGGTTGAGCCCTATTTATTTAGGGCGAGGGCAGGTGAGTGTGTGGAATGAGCAACACCAGATTAAGCTGTTAGACACGGCCAACCAAATTATGCACACATGGGCTCCTGTTTTTGCGGCTGCATGTTTCACAGCAGGTCTCAATGTTGGCTTCTCTTAGCCAGCGATTTTCTGCCAGCCCACTGAACTTCTTTACGATAGAGTGAAGAGCTGGGATTACAGACCAATAGTAGAAAACCTGTGATGTTTTTCATAGCTGTCCTTAAGCAGGCGGAGCTTCCCGTGGAGTGACCCTGTCTGCATAATTACAGCACAGGAGATGCCTCCATCCCATTAGCAAGAAAACATGATCTTATCTCTCCAGCCAAACATTCTTTCACAAGCCTGGGATCCTGGAACCAAGAACCTCCTTCTGGTGTGTGGGGGTGTTGGGGGTGTTGGAGGATAGGGGGGTGAGGACTGTTGGGAGGAATGGGTATCAAGCCAGGGTGAGACCCTGGGATCAGTCCTCGAAACAGATGAACAAGCAACAAACAACTCTCCCCCAACAAAACAAAACAACAACAAGAAACCCCAAACCCACCATTTCCTCAAGTCTCACACTCCTTTTAAGCCAGCAGTGGTTCATTTTGGGGAATAATTTTATCTTTGTTTCCCATTTTTTAGGCTCTCTGGGGTGTAGCGATCCAGTCATGCTACAATACAAGAGGGCTCTGGTCTAATCCCTAGCACCAAAGCTAATAAATAAATAAACAAAGTTTACTCATGAAGAGAGTTTGACAAAACCCAGTAAGAACTCACTTTGCCAATTACAAAGCCTGTATCTCATTTCCAAACAGTATCATTCAAGGCAAGTTCTAGGCACTAATTTTTAATATCCTCTCGTCACAGTTTAAATGTGCTGATAACATGCAGAGACATACCTAGGATTTTTTTTTTGATGGGGTTGCAATTTATCCTGAGTGGGCCTCAGACTGGCTCAGCCAGAGGTTGAGCGTGGAGTTGGCCGCTAACTTCCATCTCTGGAACATCTGGGATTACAGGCCTGTGGAGTAGAGGATTGAATCCACAACCTTTGGTGTACTAGGCCAGCCTTCTATCCACTGAGGAACAACCCTAATAGGACTTTTTTATTTTTATTTTTTTATTTTAAATCAGAATATTGTTAAGGAGCCGAAATTACCTGCAAATATATCAAGTTTTAAATGGCTCTTAACTGTTTAAACGCAAACTAGCTACAACTATTGTCCTGATTCTTTAAAAGAAAAATAAAGATTGGCTTGTAGGAATAGCATCACCAGGAGCTTGTGTGACTACATCTTCTTAATATGAGAGAACATTCAGAGATACTGTTCTTAGGGCTGGGTTGGGGCTCAGTGGTAGAGTGCTTGCTCAGCATGCAGGAGGGCCTAGGCTAAACCCCCACTGCCACCAGAAAACACACAGACACAGACACAGATACACACCACACACACACACACACACACACATACATACACACACACCACACACACACACACCACACACACACACATCACATACCACATACACCATACACACACACACACACACATATACCACACACCACACACACCATACACACACACACACATATACCACACACCACACACACCATACACACACACACACACACACACATATACCACACACCACACACACCATACACACACACACACACATATATACCACACACCACACACACCATACACACACACACAGCACACACCACACACCACACACACACACACACACACACATGCACCACAAACACATATACACACATACACCCCTCTTTACACTGCATGGCTCCACAGCTCCAATATGTAAGTATTTCAAATGTATATATCTTGTAAAATAGGAATAAGCATAGACTATCCTCCATAACAAGTTAGCTCTGTTGATCTCCAGTCTTTCTAACCCCAGAGGCTCCCTGATGGGAGTTTCTACAGAGAGCGGGACAAAATTTAATAGGTTTTATGGCCCAATGGAATCCTCAATTGAGCTTGCTAGGCCTTCATAGTGCCTTGGCACCTGTTAGTGGACAGGTACAAAACAAATTAGAGATGAAAGCAAAGAAGAAAGACAGGAAGGAAAGAAAGAAGGGAGGGAGGGAGACACTCCACCTGATGAAAATAAACAACACCCCCCTTTCACACCATCCCCTTGACCTTTATTTGTTAGCACAGTTTTCTGCCCTTCCTCTATGCTCTCCTTGTTGCAGCCTTGAAAACCTTTCTCCTCAGCCTGTGGGAAACCATCACAACTTGGATAATCGCAGGGTACTTGATTTTAAATGCTTGCAATAATCTGTCCTTTAATAAGTACAGCAAATAGCTTAGTTCGAACTCAGGCAGTGTGAGTACAAAGCATGATGCACAATTTGGTTGCCACACATGAGCGCCCCACTCCCACACTCACACCGGCGTCTTTCTAGCTCTGGCATGAGGCTCCCTGAGGGGAGAATGCCCTGACCTTTTGCCTGCTCTGGATGAGGGCGCCCTGCCCTTTTCCTTCAAGTGAAACAACCTAATTTAGTCCACAGCCCAGGGAAACAACCCTGAATGTCTGCCTTCAATGGCTCCTCGTTAGAGACCTTTTAACTCTGGGAAAGGCGGTTAATGAATGCCTTTCCATCGACTGACTTGGTGGGATTGTCCTTTGATTACTGTTAAGCAAGCAGATTTGAGGGCTTCCAGAAGGGGCTGGAGCATTACCATGGAGAATGTGTGTGGCGGATGAAGCCCCAAGCTGGACGCGCAGGAAATGAACCCTGATTCTCGCTCACATCAAAACAAGTGGATCTGTCACCTCAGAGGCGGAGGGAAGGGGCCATGGAGCACCTGGACTGACGGACGGATGGACGGACGGACGGGACAGATGTCTGGGAAAGGGCTTGAGTCCCTGTTTATCAGCTGCTGCTTCGTAGCTGATGCTGCAGCCAGTGGCCGAGCGACAACAGCTCTCGTGGCTTGTGAGGTCTGAGCCAGGGCTGTCCCTGAACTATGAGGAAAGAGTCCTCACTGGATAGCTCACCTTCCCAAGGTCCCAGGGAATTTGACACTCAGTTATTGAGTATGGCAGGGAGTAATGTTCGATTAATGTTTTGTCGGCATCCCAGAGTCCACTGTTAGCACTGTTATTTTTTCTTTAATTAAAATTTTTAATATTTGACTTACATGATAAAGAGAGGTCATTTATTTATTTTTGTTGTACTGGGAGTTGAACCCAGGGCTTTGGGCATACCAGGCAGGAATGGAACCACTGAGATATGCCCTAGCCCTCCCTCCTTTAAAAATTCATTTTAAGACAGAATATTACTAAGTTGTACAGACAGGCCTCAGACTCACTCTGGAGCCAGGTGGACCATGCACTCATGATCCTTCTGTCCTAGACTCCTCTGAGCCCCATCATAGTGCTCCACCGTCTCATGGTAGTGCTCCACCGTCCCATGGTAGTGCTCCACCGTCTCATGGTAGTGCTCCACCGTCTCATGGTAGTGCTCCACCGTCTCATGGTAGTGCTCCACCGTCCCATGGTAGTGCTCCACCGTCCCATGGTAGTGCTCCACCGTCCCATGGTAGTGCTCCACCGTCCCATGGTAGTGCTCCACCGTCCCATGGTAGTGCTCCACCGTCCCATGGTAGTGCTCCACCGTCCCATCGTAGTGCTCCACCGTCCCATCGTAGTGCTCCACCATCCTATCGTAGTGCTCCACCGCCCCATCACAGAGCTCCATTGTCCCACCATAATCATTTGCTTTCTCTTCACAGTGTTCTATTATCCTACCCCAGTGCTCTACTCTGCCACCACAGTGCTCCATTGTTCTGTTAGAGTGCTCCTGTGTCCCGTCACAGTGCTTTCCTGTCTTAGAAAATGTTTAGCTGCCCAGTCCTAACACTGTCAAGTCACCATGCTCTCTTATCTTCACTATGCTTCACTGTTGTCATAGTGCTCCATTGTCCCGTCACAATGCTTTGCTCTCGGGATTCATCTCAAGGCTCTTCACTGTATTATCACAATGCTCTACTAAATAATTATCACAAGGTGAATTGACTCATCACAATGTTCTGTCCCTTTACAGTGCTCCACTGTCCCAAGATGGTGCTCCATTGTCCCATCCCAGTGCACTACTGTGCCACCATAGTGTTCCACTGTAACATCCTATCACAATGTGCACCTGTCTCATCACAATGCTCGCCCCCTTTCTCTATGGACCAGGGTTTTCTCTTCACCTCTCTGGAATTGATGTCTTATTCATCTTTGTTACTTTTATCGAATAGAGTTTTATATTCAGTATTCATGTTTCAAAAAAGGGAATGAGTAGAACATTTCATGTCTCTAAAGATGAAGGAAGCCCGCTAGCAGTGACCTAAACTCCTCACCCTCCCAGATACAGCCCTTGCATTGATTTTCTTCTGGGAGCCAACACTCCCCCATGGAGCAGGGCCTGGACTCCTGCAGCCGAGATGGGCAGATGCGCTCGACAGTAATTGAGAGCAGTGTCAGCAGCCTTAAGACATCTTCTGATCTGAAATGTCCTTCCAGGACTGGGGCGAAGTGAATCAATTCACTAGGTCCGGATGCTTACTTTTAATGAGCAACTGGGGAAGCTTTTGCTAGCACAAGGGGCCCAGATGGCTGGGTGGTTCTGGAGAGCATAGGGTCAGACCTCCGGGAGGCAGGAAAGCTGCAGAGGCCAGGTCCATGCGGCCCGTGGAGTGAGGTGGGACATTGGCAAGTTTGATTCTGATGGGGTCTTTTCTCCCTTTCACTGTTGTGTCTTTCTGCTCTAATTCTCCGATGCACGCGTGTTCTGTTCCACTTTCCACTTTGAACAAAGGTGCTGGGACAGGCATTAACATTTGATGTGACTGTGACATGGCGAGTTATTAAAAGAGATTCGTGTTGGCCATTATTCAAGAGCATTGAAGAATTCTAGTTATACACTTAGTTCCATTCCCCCTTGCTTA